CGCGAGCACTAACTTTTGACACAGAACCCGCAAAAGAGTGAATTGATGCCCACTAGTCTCGGGCCAGCCATGGACGCAAATAGATCACATCGTGATAAGTTACCGCTGGAGAGGCTGTGTCTAAAACTATCGTTCGATTTGGAGCACCAGTGTGGACTCCGATCACGCTATCGCGTGTGCCGACCTGCGCGTGCGTTTCGGCGGACGTCCACAACGTCGCTCTGAGCACATTGATTCCAGCCAGCTGGCGAAGCCGGGTGTTGAGAATGCGTATCAAACTACGCTGGCATCTGAGCTGTGTAAACGTCCACTAACCACCGTCGAAGATCATTGGTCGCATATTTGTCAAACGTTGCTATCAGTAGGCATGTCTTGATGTGGCAAATCAAATTGCCATCCTAGACATCGGGTCTCTACGATGTCTCTGGAACTTATGGATGCTCGCCGACGTATTTCAGCTAGAATCGAATACAATGAGACTCGCAAAAATCTCAGGGCGAAACCGCGTGCTAGCCGGAAGAGAGACTGCGAAGCCTGGTGGTCTCATCATGCATCGGAAATGAAAACAGCCGTTGCCGTTGGTAATCATCGTGTTATTCTGTCTACTACGGAAAATAGGTAGCAGGAGACCTGGTGTTAGCGAGACAATACGCGGCGAGACTGGACAGCTGACCCACAGCTTGTCAAAGCGCTTGGAGCATTGGGGCGAACACCTGCTAAGGCAGTTTAACCAAACTGAGTTATCGTGTTCCATTTCCGGAATTGAGTGCCCTTCTCCATGCGCCGTCTCATTTGATCCCCCCTCACGCACAGTAGTCGAACATGAAATCAGACTGCTGAAATTGCATAAGGCCGCCAGTGCAGATAGAATTCCCTCAGCTCTTTACAAACTCATGGGACCTGCACTTGTAGATGATTTACACGAGTTGCTGATTAAAATTTCGGAGCAGGAAATTGTCCCGACAGACTGGGGCCGCTCCGTCATAGTCCTAATTAGCAAGGGAGGCTCTCGTTCGGAATGCGGTAACCATAGAGGGATCAGTCTGATCACAATTGCCTCTAAATTACTTGCCTCTGGATTTCTCCATAGATTGCTTGGCGTTCGCAAAAGCCAGATCCGCAAAGAGCAAGCCGGGTTTCGTCGAAATGGAGGCTGCATTGAGCACATCTTCATTTTGCGTCAATTGTTGGAGCACCGCCATGCATATTGGCGACCAACCGTTGTCGTGTTTCTCGACATCAAAAGTTCTTTCAAATCAGTGGTTCGGTGTGCTCTTTGGGACTGTTTGCTGATGAAAAGTGCGCCCGATAGATATATAAACATTATCAAAACGCTGTACGCACATAATTCGGACAGAGTGAGGGTTTATGGCAAACTGTCGCCGCTCTTCAATATCTCCAGCGGTGTGAGACAAGGATGCCCGCTGTCACCTTTTCTTTTTAATTTCGCTATTGATGAAGTCATGAAAACAGCGTTCGCTGGAAACGACCTAGAAGGTGTGGAGCTACTTCCAGATGAACGGCTTCTTGACTTGGAGTTTGCGGACGACATTGTCCTCATATTTGACAACGCCCAAACGTGTCAGGCTACAATGGACCGATTAGCACCTGCTGTCGATTGTTTTGGGCTATGCTTTGCTCCATCGAAATACAAAGTTCTTCTCCAAGATTGGCAGGGACCCACCTTTGCGCTGACCCCTGGTGGTGATCAGCTAGAAGTGGTTCAGGAATTCAAATACCTGGCCAGTTATATTAGCGCCCGTGGGATCGAAGCTGAGATTACGAGCCGTATATCAAACCCTGGGGACGCTTTTGCCTATCTCCGCCACGTGTGGCGCAGACGCGACATCAGTCTCTCCCTGAAGGGTAGAGTGTATAATGCAGCCGTCCGTTCAACCCTCATACGATTGTGAAAACTTGCCCATCAGGTCGACAGACCTAAGAGGCTGGTCACGTTCCTTCATCGCTGCCTTCGCAGCTCAGCTCATGCCTGGGGGTCGCGTATTTGGTGCAGGAACAGCGAGTGAACCGCTCAGCACCATTATATCACGCACCAGGCTCCGATAGGTGGGTCACGTGGCACAGCGACTCCCGCGACGTGCATTGTTTGCTCGCCAGATGTGAGGTTGGAAGAAGAAGGGGGAGACCAAACAATGAGTTGGTCGAGAGAAATGAAAACTCACTTCGAAGTTGGCGTCGGTTGGTGCATCCCGAGTGCCTGGCTGGGGTCCTAAGGACGATGAACACGTTTGGTTGGACACACTTGCTGACATGACAGGAGCCGGCCCCCACGGCGTTTGTGTTGTGTTCTCCTTTGTCCATCCCCCTCCCGCCTAGTTTCCCCCTCCAATCACGATCTCATTCGTTAGGCGTAATAAAACTCTCTTTTCTGCGGCATGATAGCCGATTGTCGGCTCCCCGGAACTATGTCCATCCGTTACGGGGGACTCAGCCGGCGTGCCTCTCTTGTCTTTTTCTTCTTGCCTTTTGTATTGCGGCACAATAGCTGAGATGTTTTCCACCTGCAACTAACGCGTATAATGTTGATAATATGGAGCGCTCCGTCTAAATTTGTTTTTGGTCCACTGAAATGCTGCTTACGGATTCTTAAATACAGTACAATCGAACTTTTCACCACAAAATATGTCATCAAGTAATTATTGGTTTTAGCACATTTCGAAAAATGTACATGTTGCGGAACTCATGGGAAAAGTCACCGACCATAGTTAACCGACTGGTATTATCTTGATAACCCCCGTATCTGACGTGCACTGTAAGCTTAAAGGTAGAAGAGTGATACAGCCCGATGCTCCACCCTTTACAACAAGTTAAGATATATTTGACACATGTGATGAACGGAATGCTATAAAATTCGACGCAGCAGTGAAAACGATGATATTTTCTCTATGTCAGCTGAGCACTACGGAGAAGTAAGTTCTTCCTCGATGGTATGGCGGGGCCTTCAAATTTGTCCATGCTCTATACTTCTCATCCAAGTGATTTACTAACACACATGCTTTTCGACACTAATCATATGCTAGTGTATTTATTTTGTGGTTGCTTAGATACAAGCCGAATGAATGTACGTAAGTAGAAGCCATACTACCCAAAGCAAACAAGGTGAGTTCATTGCAAAGTAATGTTGCTCTCGAGAGTTCTGAAAAGCTCAGTTTATTGCTGGCGGTGATGTGGTCACCTCATGAATGCCATCGTATCTTTGGAAGAGAGACCACATGTGCAACAAAAATGGAAACAACTGAATGCGAGTGGCCTAAGTACTGCACAGTTATTCATCGTCTCCATCCATTTTGTGATGTGGGATCTGCCGTCGAATATACCGACCTGAAAGCTATCCATGTGGTCAGTAACAGTTTATGCCAAAGAGGCAACCTAGAGGTTACAATGGTAGTGATCAGCATTGCTAAATTAAATCATCCAGACCTCATTTACTGATCCTTGTAGGAAATGCGGTTGCTAAGGTGTGGTTGTTGCGTCGCTGCTACCGTCAAGCTATACATGTGAGAACGACGGTGCTTTATTCAAGCTCTATTTCCATCCCCAGTAGATTACCGAACTTGGCTATGTACATTAGGTTGATGTCCACAACTGGAACGCTGCACTCATGAAGCTCCTGACAAGTGTTTGGGGAACCACCAAGCAACAGCCCATAATCAGGTCAATAGTTGGAGAGCCGTTTCTTCGTGAGACAGGCTGCGAGTAAACTACTGCGCAACTGACAGTTGCCATCTTGTTTTTGTCTAAAATAATCCACGGACTTTCAGGGTTCGCACCGTATAGTTCCACTACTTGCAAAATACGTTGTTTTGCCTATGAAGCACAGCACGTAAGCACTGAACATTAAGCATAATGGTTACCTGGTACTGACAAGCGTGCTCGTCCACTCCATTGCGAAATGCACGCTGACGGCTTTAAACTGTGACTCATTTGTTTCATGACATATTTCTTCTAAGCTGAGAGCGTATTCCATGGTTATGGTTGGCGTAGAGTCCATCTCTCTTTATCACTGTGCTGATACACACGTTCTAATACCGTAACCGACAAGTTAGCGTCTGATTTAACCCACAAAACGAAGACACTGTGCGAGGTAAAATTCCTTTCATTAAGCACCTTTTCTCGAGATATCCAAACGCCATATTGTGTTGTAAGTAACTGTAAGCAAGCTTTTCTCGCTTTCAGCTAGCTTGAACGTCCGCCGAGGTGTAACGCGGCGCGCTGCGTTGTCTTAACTTATCCCGAATCGCCTGCTCTCTTCCCCGTCATGACATTGACTGCGGATGCTTCATCCTGCACGTGACTGCTTCCGGCTATTCGGCAACGTTCTAGCGTCGGCTTGTCAGCAAACACTTCATAGGTTATTCGTTGATATTCTTCATTACTAGGCGATTGGGGTTAGAATACCAGCCACCTATGTTCTCTTTGTTTTCTATTGCAAGCCATGAGCCCTATCGCGACCTACTCTGCGTGTCGGATACTGGAGAACCTAAAACCCCGAACCAGACGAATAGTAGAGAGGTACCCTTCCGAAAACTAACAACCACAGAACTCTACATTCACCAATATGGTTAGGCATCGAGTAATCGACCGAGCTGCAGTAAAACCCTACACCCAAAATTCACTCATCAAGAAGACAAGAGTTAGCGTCCTTGCAGAATATAACATTGGATGAAGTGCTGTCTGCGTAAAGTGAACCAATAGTAGGAGAAACGCTCGTCGTATTCTTGCATCTTCCGACTCAACTGCAGAAATTCAAAAAGTAATTAGTACTTGTGAACGCTTGTTTTATAGATCACACTTGACCGAAGAATTTTTATGCTTTGGCAGTGAAACACATATTTGTGCATTTGTGCTTCTGATTCGCAGCGAATCAGTTTTTGACCACCATACTTAACTTACCAAAGCGAAAACGTGATTTCCGGGTGGCTTGGGATATGGTGTCGCCGCATAAATCAGATTGACTATGGGTAATTTGTTATACTCACCGGCACTTGTTTGGGAAAACGAGGAATGCTGGAAAATTTTCCCTTGAATCTATTCTCTTTGGATTCTAAGAGTTCCAAACCTGTCGGAAATTCAGTGAATCGTGGTCCTGTTGTAGTCCGGATCTGAAAAGAAATATGCTTCGTCATTAGAAACGAAATTAGCCGTGATCGTTGGATGTTTTGAAGTCGTTGATGTTTGCAGAAAGTAAGCAATTTCAGCAAGTAACAAGTTTGCTTTTTAAAGCTTGCATAACGCCATTTCGTTTAATCTGTAAGGTTTTGGCTAAGTTGCTGAAAGAATCGACAGCTTCAGTTTATCGATTTAGTTCACTAACGCTCTGTAGTATAGTTAATTTAGGCAACCATAACTTACGTTGCAGTCTTGCATATATCTTCTGCCACATATAACCCTCTTTCTGTGAACAGCCTATAAGTGAATTTGGGAATTAATCGGGTTGCTAGTGGGCAAAGCATCTGGTCGTGATAAGTTGTCTCCTGTCGTTCTCAAGAAATGTGTAGATTATCTAGCACAGCCTCTCGCAGAATTGTGCACACTTTGGTTCAAGCACTACAAGATACCTGGCAGTTGGCGAAGCGCAGCCATCACGCCAGTGCCAAATAAAGGAACCCACAAACTTCGGCGGCTTGCTTGCACGTCGGATACTTTGTAAACCTTTGAGAGCCGTATTCTTAAAAGGATCTCAGCACAGAGGAAGTTGGATAACTCTCATCAATTTGCATATCGCAGCTCAACTTCCACTTTAGATGAGGTAGCATGTGTGGTACATACTGTGCTCTCGTTACTAGGTAATAAAAACAAATCTATCCACATATGCTTCCTGGATTTTAGTTACGTAGTTAGTCGTGTGAACTGTGTACTGCTGTTTCGCGATCTATTATGTTAGGGAGTTCAAACTCCTGTTGTTCTTTTGTTCAAAAAGTATTTCACCAAGTGTACCCAGTTTACCAGGTTAATGGGAAAAGCATCTTCACTCACTATGCACTCTGAAGCCACTTTGTCCCACTCTTATTTTCCACTTGCGTTACATTAATTCCTGTCCCTGAAGAAGCACTCTTGCTGCAATATGCGGACGACGTGATTCTTGACGTCCACCATTCAAGCACAGAATCCTCGGCCAAACTACAAACCCTCCTGAGCAACCTCACAGTTTGGTCCAAATCCCACTTCGTCGTTAAACAACTCAAAATGCAAGGATGTTTCTTATCGTTGTTCAAAAGAAAACTCATCCCTAGTAAATCCTTCGCACTGACGGTGAATGTTTGACCTCTCCCACCTCAGTAAGATATCTAGGAGTGACATTAAACTGGGCTTACGTGGTTCCTTTAAGTAAAACATCTCATTGAAATTCTATTCTATGTTCTATTCTATGTTGCACGTCTCAGGTTTTCTTCCGTACAATGTTTTTTGATCCCGTTTTTTATCACTGCATCAGTAGAATCAGTAGTTGGTCGCTATGTTCACACAAACCAACCATATGGAAAAGATAAAAACGGCATAAAAATCTGCAAGGTATGCCTTTATTGCCGAAACCTACAAGCTGGCTAGGCCTGAGCTAAGGAGAGAAGGCAACTTTCGCGTCGCCTTCGGCATTCGTGTATACATAAAAAGGTAGTCCACATGCGACAGACAAGTTGCCTATTTTACTGAGATACGAACTGGTACTAAACCTTTGTAAGATCTTATTCATCATACGACAATAGTACGGGGGAATCTCCTGGGTGCTTCAGGTAACTGCGTCGATCTTCTCGATTACATACTCTGTATAAGTGCCAATGCTTTTAATCTCAGTAGTGTGATTCAACCATTCAAGTAGCCATTCGGTAGGGGTAATAACCAGTGGTGCGTTAGTCTAATCTAACGGTTACATGATTTACGTTGTGAGGCAGTATGTGGATTGGGTCATTCGGTCTAAAAGAACTCGCATAGGAATCTGGATCCAACACCATAAAAGTCATTTCAGTTGGACACCTTGATGAGTCAGACATGATAAAGTCATGAATATGCTATTCAACTAAACATTTGTAGCTATATGACGGTTCTAAGCTTCCAAACTTATGTGCCCGTCTATAGGTATCGTGATATGGTTCTTTTAAAATTACACTAATTATCTTTAGTCCAACACCGCATATTAAAATGTGCCAAAAACCTGTTCGATCAACTGAAGGTAGAATAATCCTCAATTGGGAAAGGATGACCACGACGAGCCTCGTGCGTGTGTTAATGTACTGCAACACGTAATCGGGATATATTTTTGAGATAATAACTCCTCATCCTCTGTGGCTGGCTTGCCGAACTACCTCCTCGTTGGTGCCAGCTGGGTGGTTCGGGTGTACCCCGTTCCACCTCCGTGGGGCATTGTATTCCAGCAATTGTGCTGACTTCATGGGGAGTATTGGGCCCCTGTTTGGTAATCTACCAAACAAAGACGCATGAGCTGATCATTCAGTCAACGCCTCCCAATGGGCGCGATTCCCTAAATTCGCCCCGCTGCCTTGCGGGTAGGTTATTTAGCCAAAGGCTCGGGGTGGAGTCCCCTAAGTCAACTCCCTACTTCAGCTTGGGCAACCGGGTAGTATCACGCCCTCTCTCAAAACCATGGACTTCACTACAACGCGCTCATCAGCTACTATTCCTGCTACTCACTTTCACGCTACTCCATCACACGCCAATTGTTTGTTTGCTAACAATCCTCACTTTCGGTTACCCGATTCATCTGTTCAACAATCTGGCTGCGATTCCGGTTGCTCCGCAGATCAAGGAATTCAACCTATGGCTCTCCTTCGTCCCCAATCCTCGTTCCGTCTAGCGTGCTTCAACGTCCGGACACTCATGCAGATTGGACAGCAAGCCGGTCTGGCGCGCACCCTAGATTCCCTAGACATTGATGTCTGCTGTCTTTCAGAAACCCGATTGCAAGATCCCAGCACTGTGCTTACATTGACATCGCCCACTGACCACGAAGCCAGATATCACCAAGGTATCCAGAAGCAAGCTCAGCGGGTTTGGCTGGTGTAGGTATAGCACTGAGTGGCAAGGCCGAGGCGGCACTACTGGACTGGTTCCCGATTAACAGCCGACTATGTGCAGTTCGGCTTCGGGGTTCATGTAGAATCAACAGGCACCGCGAAGAGAGACACAACTTGTTTGTGATCTCTGTGTACGCTCCAACTGACTGCAGTGGCGACTCGGTCAAGGAGGATTTCTACCGAGATCTACAACAGCTTTTGACTAATGTTAAAAAATCGGATGTCGTTATCCTCGCTGGGGATTTTAATGCACGTGTTGGCCGCCTGTTACCATACGAACGCCACCTTGGTGGTCATCACGCGCTCGATGAGAATCGCTCTGATAACGGAGAGAGACTTCTCACATTGTGCGAGGACAACCGTCTGTTTCTTTCGAGCACTAGCTTCAGGCGTACGAAGAAGCGTTCCGCAACGTGCCGTCCCCCTTCGCCAACACAACCTTGGTCTCAAATTGATCACATTGCGATTAGCTTCAGATGGCGCGGCAGCGTACTGGACTGCAGGTCATTTTGGTCTACTTCCGTTGATTCAGATCATGCTCTGGTCTGCGCGAAAATCTGTATGTGTTTTGGAGGATCCCGAAACACGAAGCACCGCAAGATTGATGTAAACATATTAACTGATTCCTCTGTCCAGGAGAGCTATCAGTCTTCAGTGGCATATACACTCAGTTGCAATCCACCGCAGTAAGTGGAACAACACTGGACTTGTATACGGAAAGCGCTGACCATTTCCGGACAGTCATGCTGCGGTCTAACTCGACGCCCTTTGAAGTCTTGGATCTCTGCTCATTCTCTGGAGCTGTTCGAACGCAGCAAAGATATCCCAGCGGAACCAGATTGCAACGAGCGGCGCCGTTCTACCAACCGGCTGCTTAAGCAAAGCCTACGCAAGGATCGCGAGACATGGTGGTCTGAGCGTGCTTTAGAGATGGAGACTGCTGCCCTCACTGGTAACACTCACAGGCTTTTCCAACTCATCCGGTCCACTGGCCTCAGGAAGCCTGGTGTCAGTGAGGTCATTTGTGAGGTGGATGCGTCTCCGATCACCAACCAACAGAGGCGTATGGAACGCTGGGCCGAGCACTTTCACTCGCAGTTCAACTGGTCTCCAACATCCATCAGTACATGCAGTACACCTTGCTGTCCACCCTGGCTCGTCCTATTGAATCCACCCAGCGAAGCAGAAGTCTGCCTCGAGATTCGACGCTTGAAGCGCTTCAAGGTTGCCGGCTTAGACGGAATTCCTCCGGAGCTATTCAAGGATGACGGTGTAGGAGTCAGTAACCAGTTAACCGCGCTGTTCGCAAAAATTTGGCATGAAGAGAAAGTGCCTTCCTCTTGGGGCGAATCAATTATTGTCCCAATTTTCAAGAAAGGTGCTCGCACTTCATGTGCAAATCATCGCGGGATTAGTCTTATTTCGGTTGCCTCTAAGTTGTTGGCATCCATTCTACTTCGTAGACTATCCCCAGTACGTGAATCATACTACCGTGAAGAACAAGCTGGTTTCCGTCCTGGCCGCGGATGCTTGGATCAAATCTTCACGCTCCGCCAACTCCTTGAACATCGCCACATTTATCACAGGCCCACTATCGTTGCATTCCTAGACATACGTGCCGCTTTTGACTCCGTTGATCGACCTGCTTTATGGCGTTGCTTACTAAAGAACGGGGTGCCAGAGAAATATACCGCCATCTTACGAGTACTTTACCTTCATACATGCGGCAGAGTGAGGGTCTATGGCAAGCTTTCCTCGCAATTCGCTGTCAATAGCGGTGTGCGACAGGGCTGCCCTATGTCCCCATTCCTCTTCAACTTCGCAATCGAAGACGTTCTGTCGAATGCCCTAGAAGGTTTCCAACATTTTGGCCTAGAGCTTCTACCGGGTGAGCGCGCGACCGACTTAGATTATGCTGATGATATCGCCTTACTTGGTGACGATCCTCAGGGTATGCAACTCATTCTGGATCGTTTGGCGGTTGAAGCATCTAAGTATGGCATGAGCTTTGCCCCATCGAAGTGTAAAGTACTGCTCAAGGATTGGGTTTCACCTGCACCCGTGCTCACTCTCCA